TCTCTAACCTTAAGCAGAAAGTCTCAGGGACAACACCAAAGGCCCTGAGTTCAAGCCCCAGGCCTGGAACTATGTACATGAGCATGCATACATAAACAGTTACCCTAGATAAATAGTAGGGTTACAAAAAAGAAAAATGAGTTGTGTCTTGAGGTGTAATCAGTTTTTGAATCTTTTCAGTAGGTGTTCATTCATCTCAGCTTTATAGTCTACTTTTGTAGAAAGTTTAGGTTAAGAAATTCTGTCTCTGGCTGGGCTTAGTGGTAGTGCTTGCCTATCATGCATGAAACCCTGGGTTCAATTCCTCAGTACCACATACACAGAAATGCCAGAAGTGGTGCTGTGGCTCAAGTGGTAGAATACTATCCTTGAGCAAAAGAAGCTCAGGGACAGTGCTCAGACCCTGAGTTCAAACCCCAACACTGGCCAAAACGTGCCAGAATTACAAATTTGATGAGCAAAATTATATTTTCCTTTGATATTTTTAGGCAAAGAATCTAAAGCAAATTAGTGCTTCTGTCACATTCCTTTATGGGACCTTTATTTTGCCTTTCCTCCAAAGGCCTTGTCATTTTTAGTAAAATAGAGGCCGGTGATAAGATATGTAAGAAACACTAGTTGTGATGTTTGTGAAATGTTTTTTCTATATCATTCCTTGTGTCGCTGTTAATAGATCATTCAACACCAGCCAGCCAGTCTCCTCATTCCTCTAATCCAAGCAGCTTGCCCAGCTCTCCTCCAACACACAACCATAATTCTGCTCCATTCTCTAACTTTGGACCCATTGGGACTCCAGATAACAGGGATAGGAGGCCTGCAGATCGATGGAAAACTGATAAACCAGGTGAGATCCCAACTTCATTACCTACCTAATAAGAATGGAATAACTTCCTCTGTTTTTACCTGGGATTTAGCAATAAATAAAACATATTAAATTCTTCTCTGTTTCCATCCCTTAGCCATGGGTGGGTTTGGTGTTGACTATCTCTCAGCAACGTCATCGTCTGAGAGCAGTTGGCATCAGGCCAGCACTCCAAGTGGCACCTGGACAGGCCATGGCCCCTCCATGGAGGATTCCTCTACTGTTCTCATGGAAAGCCTAAAGGTGAGTGGATTTCAGAAACAAGAGCTACAGGATTCTAGAAGCAGAAATGCTTCCATTTTCACACACAAATAAATAGACTGACTTCTACAGCGCTTAGACTTGACAGCGCATAGAACATATACAGCAGTGTCTACAGATAGTCTACCTTACATGATATCTTCCTTGAATATTGTAATATTTTAATGTGAATTCACTAATGATAAGAAGGGTCAGAGGACTAGAAACACAAACTTAAACCTAAGGTCAAGCATCTTCACATGTTTAAGACTTCTGATCAAGTGAAAGAAGAGTTACATGATTTTAGTAGTTTTGTTTGCCTAAAACCTTTATAATAAATATATCCTTTTCCAGTTTTCACCTTTTCCAGTTTAAAATCTTACTAGTAACTATAGTGACAATTTTCTCATAGCTGGATTGTGTTAGAAGTTTGCATGGAGTTTTTTGGATATATATATATATATATATATATATATATATATATATATATGCCTTTATAGCTGGCTGGAATTAAAAACCAAATACTTGTCAGACACCCAAAGCATTTGATCTCTGTTGACAACATTTGGACTGTTTTTCAGTCTATCTGGTCCAGTTCCATGATGCATCCTGGACCTTCAGCTCTGGAGCAGTTGTTAATGCAGCAGAAGCAGAAACAGCAGCGGGGACAAGGCACCATGAACCCACCACACTGAGGCCACAGTAGCAACCTTGAGAATGAAGGCTCCATAAACCATGGCATGTTGGGTTTGCAGGACTGGCCCACATAGTCCTCTGCAGGTGGCAGCCCTCTTGTCTGTTTCTTGCTGTCAAGAGGGTGTAAGTGTTCCACCAGCCCGCTGAGTGTGCACGAAATGTTCGCAGTGCAACAAAAAGAAAAACCATCAGGAACTCTCCGTCCCCCGGGGCCTTCCGGAGGGAGAGAGGAACTGCTGTTTGTCTCACTCAGTCACCTGATATCACCACCTCTCACCTCCTCCGTCGTGCATGTCCCTAGCCACATGGGAAGTGAAAGCTGAGAAGGGAAGGCAGGTGGGAGAAGCCAATGGGAACTTCTCAGTCCTTTTTTCCTCTTTGGGGAATAAAATAGGAATCCATTAATGATTGCTTTGCTGACTGAGAATGTAGTTGAAATTACTCTTGAACATCTTTTATTATTGTTATTACTCTCAGTAGTAAGACATCACACTGAATTCTTCCATATACAGGTGTGCTTCTGGTCAGTGTGTAGCAAAGACAGTCAGTCCTGATCGCTGCTCCTATGAGAGGTCGGTGGTGGTAGGACGCAGAACCGACCTCTTCAGCCAGTGGGAGTGTTCCCTAACAGAGAGAACAAGGCCCCTCAGAAAGTTCTGGTTAGGCCTCCTCTGGCCTAGTGACTCAGCAGGAAATGTCCTTCACCCTGTAGGTGCTGGAGCTCCAATCGAGGATATAGTGTGGGTGGTGCTGCTGCTGGGCTGGACTAGCAAGTGACTGCTATAAGAGTTCAAATTAACGTTTTTGATTTCCTGTACCTTTTGCAGTAGCCAGCAAGCAGTCTCGCAAAAGACAGGCTAGTCCATTCGTGGCCTGACACGTTTTAGTAGGTGGAAGCTTTCAGTGTGGTTTTTTGTTTGGTTGATTGATTTTTGTGCCTCATCCTGCTTACCAGCCTCCTGTGCTTGTCTCCGTTCATTTTTTTTTAACCCTATGCTGTGCGCTAGCAATTGATTTTACTCCTAATGTGTACAACATCTCACCAAGAAGCAACAGCATGGGGACCAGCGGTCAGGCCCAGAGACAGTCTGAAGAGGAAGGAAGCAGTGATGTCTGCAGAACCACAGAGGAGCCAGGCCCCTGCCCAGCTGTAGCCTCCCAGCCTCCACCTCATGAGTGAACATCAAGAGGCAACATGGACATATGCACGTCATGCACAGGAGAAAACATAACGAAGGCCATTTTGGAAAAGCAAAAGAAAGGAAGATAAACTTTATTTGATATTTATTAGGAGGAAAGAGGACTGAAGATGTTCTTGCGTAGACACAGGAGGACAGAATTTCTGTTAGTCATTTCCTGGAAAAGTAATGTTTTAAGGGGAAATTATGGAAACAATCTAAATGTCCAATTGCTGTGCTAGCGGTAGGGATTATTTTCTGGGAGGTCTGTGTGTGTGAGTGTGTAAGTGTGTGTGTGTGTGCGTGTGCGTGCGTGCACCCATCTGCTATCCCAAAGGGAAGGGGTGTGTGTATGAGTGTGTAGAACTTAGCTGGAAAACAGCTGCAGAGCAAAGCACATCTAGGAGCCCCGGTTGTCTCTGGAGTTTAAGCAACCCCAGCAATGAAAAGGGGTGAGATAATGCTTATTGCTCTTCAGAAAGAGTGGTTGGAGCCCCCTAAGCTTACATTATTGCTCTTTTAGTTTGACATGGTGTTTGGGTTTTTTTTGTTTTGTTTTGTTTTTGAAAGATCTGAAGGGTGAAGCCCCCTACCCGATGGCAATATGAAACCCTTTGTGCTTCTCTCTCGTCCCTTCCATGTGTTCCCCCTTTTTCCTCTTCCTCCTTCCTAAGCTGCTTTCCCTGTTACCTTTACCCAGTTTATGTGTTTGAGCTCTGCATTCAGGCAGCTGCAACATTCCAGTGTTTGAACTGTCACTGATTCTTGCACCCTAGACAAGCTAACCAGGTTTACCATCTCCCTCCCGGTAGTGCCCCTGTGCCCATCTACAGCCCCAGTCTGCATGAAAATTTGATGTTTGGAATAGTCTATGACTTTTGGGATGGGTTCCTCGCCTTGTCATCCTCACAGTGGAATAATGAGGAGGGGGAGGAGAATCTTCATCAGAAACTGGTTTTATGTAGTAAATTTTATTTTGTGATTTTTTTTTGTTATTTTTGTTTGCTGCTTTTTATTTGGAGTTTATTTTTCCTCCTAGATTTTTTGTTTTGTTTTGTTTTTGTCTATCTGTGCAAGACCTGCAGCTGCTGAAATCAGCTTTGCCTTTAATTAAACTATGTTCTCTCCAACCAGATCTGTGTGTAGATTATTTCTTTTCTATCCTGAAGGGCACAGTATTGAAGGAATCCAATTTAAAGAATTTTAACAACTGAAACCCAAGGGAAAACATAGTCAGAATGTGGGTTTGTTGGGGATTATTTTTGCTTTTGGTAGCATTCCCAACCAACGAATTAGTATGTAAAGTGATAAGTAGAAATTATCAGAGTTATTTAATAAGTTATGTAAAAGAGTTAACAGCCCACCATTTTTATGCCTATCGTAGCTGTTACTGAAGCAGTTCTGAGATATTTTATCTTTTTGGCCTTCAGAATTCACTAAACCTTATTATCATCAAAGCAGTTATTATTACTGGTCCTGGTCTTCCCATTTGTCCAAGATTTCCATTCGTGGCTTGCTGGGCCTCCCCGCACTGTGCTGGCACCTGATGCTCATATTGCCTTGAAGTCCTTGGATTTAGGTGGTGTTCTGGTGTATAGTTTATTTCCTGACTCATGCACCTCCATGCTTAAAAAACATGCTAGCTTATGCATACATACACCCCAAAAAGAGGAGATGGGGCAACTAAATTGAGATCCTATGGTCTAGTATTTATAGAATTCTTGATAACTAAAACTATGGCATTACTAAGTGGAAAGAATATTCCAACCAGCTGGCTTCCTGAACATAGTGACATAAATTCAGTATTAAATTTAAAATTGAGTAGTAAATGTCCATCTCTGAGAATGCATAGAGAGATAAAATTTCAGTATTTTAATTCTCTGTGGAATTAAATGGAAACCTAACTCAAGTCTAGGTTCTGTTTAAGTAGTAAAACTTAGAAGAGTATGTGTATGCCTTCTGAGTCACCTGTAAGTTACTCTGGACTCGGGAGTCTTAATAGTACAAGAACAAAAATGTTTCCATTTAATTTCTTGGATGTTTTGGTTTATTTTGGTAAGGCAAGTGTTTTATTGAGGTTTTACCCATACAGAGAGGTGCAAGCCAGTGAATTTTTACAAAGTAAACACATCTGGCTACTCAGCATTTAGAGCAAAACAGATTATTGACACCCTAGAAGACTCCATCATCGTTTCCCAGACAATTCATCTCCGTCTTCCTGCATGGGCAAGTTCTTGTGTTATATAACAGGTTGAATTTTAACAAGGAAAAGTTAGATTAACATGGTCAAACTGTAATGTCTGTGGTTATAGCAGAGGTATAGTAAGTCTTACAAATAATAGAGCCTCCTTTTCTTAGTTGCCAGAACCATCTTAGCCTCTTCTGGGAGTACTTTCCAAATCCACAGCAGTACATTCTTCAACAAAAGCTTTAGGGAAGATGCCAACTTTCCCTTTACACTCTCCTTCCAGCCATTCCTCATTCACTGACAAAAGGGAAAGCACGTCGTTTACTAAATCCATTATTGAAAATTTAACTCCCCCCGCCCCCCACCCCAGCCCCGCCATTTGACCAATGATCCTGAACTTCCAATAGATTTTTTTTTTTTAAGAACTGAATTTTGTCTGAGCTTTGATTGGGAACCTTAATTTTGATGATGGACAGGCACTTATTGTATTAAAAATGAAATACTGAGAATGAAAGTTATCTTGTTAGTGATTCATAAAAAGCTTTGAGAGCTAGAGCTAGTGATAAATTTGGTGTTTGTAAAAGCAACAATTTTAATATAAGCCTTTAAAAGAAGGCATTGTGCTAAAGCATGTAACATTCATCTCACAATAAATTAGTTATAATTACTACCTCTATTTTACAGTGGCTTGTTAAGTGCTATCTTAAAACACCAAACAGTTTAGAAACATTTTTGGATATGAATCGTTAGTCCATGTGTGTAAATCCTGCCTTTCCCCTTCCAGAATTCTATCATCGTTAGAGTCCATGTGTGTAAATCCTGCCCTTCCCCTTCCAGAATTCTATCATTTGTGTGGAACATAGCTGAACATTAATTTTTTTCCCTCCAAAGTTCCTTATGATTCTACTTGCAACCCCACTGTCTTCATTCTTCCTATTTTTACTGTGGGTCTGGCCTGGAAACGTCTATCCTGGACTCTAGTTGCGTATTAGAAATTGCAGGTGACATGCCCAACCTTAAGGGTCATTTTTAAAAGATCCCACGTGATTGAGTTCACATAAAGTTTGAGAAAGCACTTGGTGGATGAAACTACCCTGCTGACTGCGTATATGCTGTTTGTTTCCTACAAAAGTGTTAAGGACAAGATTCCAGAATGTGGAAGGGTGCTTTTTTTAAACCAGTTCACCTTTTGTGTGTCCCAGAAAGAAGTGCAATGCTTTTTCTAGGTTTTTCCTGTGTGTTCTCTCATTTTTATCTTGTCCTTGCCCATCCTCTTAACAAAACCCTTCCTTTAGCTAATGTAGACACTTCAGAAATGAGCTGTAGTTCTCAAAGATAATCAAGCTGACATCACCTGGAAACCATAGAGTGAACATTTATAGGCCTCGCTATAGATCTGAGCTGGAATCTCTGGGAGATGGCCAAAGAGTTTCATAAAGTTCAAGGGATACTACGATACGCTGAAGTTTGAGAACTATTAGTTTGAAACTCCTTATTCCCATTTTTATGCCAAAACGGACCGCTCCCCATTCCCTCTTTGGAATGAGTATCAATTCAGAGAGCTATGGTTTGATGTAAAGGCAAAATGGTCCTAGACCATTTGTTAACCTTTAGAATGAAAATCCATTGTTTCCAGAACATAGCTGCCTTCATCAAAAGGCCATCACGATTGTATACCTATTATATATGCCTGTTAGAACACCTGACCAGAAAAAGCTGAGCACTCATTTTGTTCCTGTTAAAAACTAGGCAGGGGATTGAAAACACTAGCTGAAGTTTGGTTTCTAGGTTATTGGTGTTTTCTTCTCCCTGTCCCTTACTTTATTTCTGGTAAACATGGGAATTCACTTCTGTGGAGTAGCACTTACCTTTGGATAGCACCAGGATTACATCTCCTTCAAGGAACTCCAGGTCCTCTGGTTGGGTAGCTGCATAACTAAAGAGTGCCACCACTTGGCTCCCTTCCTTAAGCTGAGGTTCTGGTGTCTGGTTATTATCAGGTTTTTCACCTTCTGTGGGTTCCTGTGTAAAGCCTTGGTCACCCTGAAATGAGACATCTGTTATTTTTCCTAATTTCTTGGCCAGTGAACATTGAGCATCACTAAAAGAAGTCAGTAGATCAAGTCTGCTATAAACTAAAGGTAACTTTGAGATCAGTTCCTAGTAGAAGCCATCTACATATACATATATATGTTCTATATAGAGATATTAGAGATAATGTTAAATGTATGTATATATGTAGTGAATACTAGATAGTTAGATAAGTGACACCCAAAGATCTGTAGAACTATATATGATACTAGAACACCTTGCTGGAATCCTGACAACAGCAAGGTGGATAGGCTCTGTTGATTCCCACCAGGTTGGGAAATAGAATTTGGATGACAAGGACGTGAGCCCATACATCTTGAATTTCTTGATACCAAATCCAACACCCTTTCCTAGCACAAACACTAGGGATTGTTAGAAGCATACATTTTCAACTCCTTCAATCTAAGAAGTCAGTCTTATCAAAAAATGGGTTTGTAATCTATTTTAAGTCCTAAAATGTTGAGTACTGAATTTGAGGGCCACTATGTAGCACCATTCTCTCTCTCTCTCTCTCTCTCTCTCTCTCTCTCTCTCTCTCTCTCTCTCTCTCTCTCTCTCTCTCTCTCAAAAAGGCTTACCTTTGATTTGTAATAACATTTCTTAAACATCTTAGACATTATGGTCACTTTTTCCCCCCAGTCATGGGGCTTGAACTAGCAGCCTGGATGCTGTCTTTGAGCTCTTTTGCTCAAGGCTCTAAGTGGTAGAGCAGTAGCCACTTCCAGGTCTCTGGTGGTTAATTGGATATAAGAGTCTCACAGACTCCCCTTCCCAAGATGGCTTTGAACCACTGTCCTCAGGTACTCAGCCTCCTAAGTAGCTGGGATTCCAGACAGCCACCAGCATCTGGCTTATTGTGGTCACTTTTGCACCATAAAGGTTTAAGAGGAATGTAATTTGTAGAAGTGTCGTAACCAGTCAGAAACAGCTTAGGCTAAAATGTTATACTGGAGGATGTGACTGAGGCTAGCAAGCACAGGTCCTAACTTCAAATCTCAGGACTACCAAAGCATAAAATCCTGGACTGAGTGTTAAAAAAGTCCCAATTCTTACACTGTTGAACTTTAGTGTATTGTCTTTATTAAAAGGCAGCAGCAGTACAGGAGGTAGAAATAGCTCTGGAGCCCATAGACCTAGGTTTGTATCCCAGCTCCACTATTTACCAGCTATGTGTCCCTGAATAGCCGTGTAGCCTCTCTCAGCCTGAGGTTGGGACTTGGAGAATTAAATGAAATGGTACGGATCAATGATGCAGGCATTTATTGAATACTTACTGTATGTATATCAGTACTATTCTAAATAGTTAAAAAAATTAGTTCATGTCAGGAGTGGGTGTATAATAAATGATACTTCATCTTCTTTTCCCTAGCTACAACAACAGGATTTGCTGGATCCAGTGTAACCAAAAATGACAGCATTCAGCAAAGTTCCCTGAGCCTGGATTGAGTTCCAAAAAGCCTTGGGAATTTGAGAGAGGTTTAGGCATAGTCATTAGATTGAACTTCTCATCAAAGGAAAAAAATTAATTTACTCTAAATCCATTTAGAGGAAATTATCCACCAGCAGATGAGTAAATTGTGGTATCCATATGATGGAATGCCACTTACCAATCAAAAGGAATAGACCACCATACAGAATACACAAGTCAACACCATATAATTGTTTTATATGATGTTACATAGAAAGCCAACTATGCTGATAGAAAGCAAAGGGATAGTTTTCAGGCCAGACTGGGAAAGGAACAACAAAGTGGCAACTGTTCTTCTGGACACTAGTTGGAGGAAGAAACAAGAGTATTATGCTGTGGCTGCCTCTTGTAACCTGAAACTTACCTCCTGACTGCCATTGATCTTACCATAATGCAGAGGACTTGCATAGACCTCAGAGCCAATAGATGGCCTGCCCTGTTGTGTCAGTTTGGCGAGGTGGCTGTGAACATAGGCAGGTACTAGTTACAGTGCCTGTCTGAGCCCTGGTTCCAACATTGACCAGCTGTGTCATGTTGGCTAGGTTGCTTGACTTCTGCCAGCCTTGTTTCTAAGGCATCAAACAGGTTGACAATAGCTGCCTCAAAGAATGCTCTCAGCACACTGCTGGGCATATGGAAGCTTCTCAGATACTTGTTAGGAAGCTGTTGCCCATGACATCTGTGAAATAAATGCTCCCCAAAGTGTTCTTCCTCATGGAAACCGAACATGGCGAAGAATGGCTATGGGCACAGACTCAGGCTATGACTGGATCCCAACCCTTGCCTGACAGAGATGGGCTTGACCCAGTCAAGCATGGCAGTGGAGAGACCTGGCTCATCTCTTGTGAGAAACCCTCTTCCAGCTGTGCATTTTTACCCAAAATGTCCCTATTACTAAGCATAATGCCTGACTGGGGCTGGGAATGTGGCTTGGTGATAGGATGCTTGCCTAGCATGCATGAAGCCCTGGGTTTGATTCCTCAGTACCACACACACACACAGAAAAAGCTGGAAGCGGCACTGTGGTTCAAGTGGTAGAGTGCTAGCCTTGAGCAAAACAAACTCAGGGACAGTGCCTAGGCCAGAGGTCAAGCCTGGGACTGAAAAGAAAAAAGCTTCATAAATATTGAGTGTGTCATTAAGGAAATGGCCATTGAGAGCAACATCTGGAGCCCCAGGCTGCACTCACCACTGTGTTCTCACACCAGAGAGTCAGGCAGAACTTATTCACTTGACTCCAGGCATCCTTCATGCTTTCTTCAGAAAGAGGCACCAGCTCATTGCTGTCCCGAGGCCGGTAGCTGAGCAATGATAACGGGAAGAAGTGTATCAGATCATCATGTCCCCCAAACCGTCTCCTATGTCTTTCCTCTGAGCCAACACAAGGCCTTCAGCTATATCCCTACTGCAACCTGCATGGCGCTCACCTCAGCTTAGTGTGCTCTGGCAGCAGCTGTAGTTTCTTAGATACCATGTCCCGGACTTGGCTGCAGGGGAGCCCGGGCTGAGCCTCCATGACCACTGTGTACTTGTAGTGCACCTTGATTGTGTATGGTGTGGGAACACTGAGCCTTACTTCCTGTGGGAGGAGAAGCAAAGGGAGCTGAACATCAGAAGCTGTCGATCACTGCCACCTTGTCACATTGAGTCCTCCAGATAGCAGGGGAGAGGCCAGGAGGAAACATCCCAATACCCTGAAAGGCCTTCATGGATCCTTTAGCCCAACTCTTGACTTGAAAAGCTATGGGCTGGTATGAAATGTATGCACGGGCTTGGAGAAGGGTAGGGGGAGGTCAGTCCATGGGCTATGCAATGGGTAGCAATTGGTTTTGGCCTTCCATTGGGACTATAATACAAAGAGCCATGCGCATGTTGACAGCTCATTCTTTTCCACCTTCTACTTGAAAAAGTACAAGGGGGGAAAACATACCTTAAGCTCTTCTTTTTGTTTCTGACCTAAATGAAAAAAGTCAGGAGTAAAATTTTAAAAATCAAAATAAAAAGCATTGAGTAAGTGTTCTTGACCAGCTCCTGCCATTTACAGACTGAAAGGTACCCAGAGTTTTGCCCTTTAATCTTGAATGTTCATTGACCTTAGTAAACTGAGGGGAAATCTCCCTCTAGGGAACATCAAAGTCATGAGTCCATGAACATAGCCAGAGTGTGCAGACATCTATCAAAGGACTAGCATATGCTTATCAACCTGTGGGGTTAGCGGGCCAAAGGTCAACTCAAGCAGTGAGGCCCAAAGCAATGAAAAGCCAGGACTGTGAGATGCAGCAGCAGCCACAGAAGAATTATCAGAGCCACTTTTTTTTGCCCTGTCCTTTATTGTTTTCTAAGGTGCATGCATTGACATAGCAGTATGCATGTAATTTATATAAGAAAAGTAGGAAGTTATTTAGCATAGGGCAGTACATGATTTTTTAAAAAAAGATCTATTCATAAACTCAATTGATCATTAAAATTACTGCTAAGGTGGTCCCTAGTGACTCATGCCTGTAATCCTAGCTACTTAGGAGGCTGCGATCTGAGGATGATAATTCAATCCATTCAAAGCAGCCCGGGCAGAAGAGTCTGAAACTCATCTCCAATTAACCACCAGAAATGGAGCTGTGTTTCAAAGTGGTAGAGCACTAGCCTCTAACAAAAAAAAAAAACAAAAAACAGGGACAGTGCCTAGTCACTAAATTCAAGCCCCATGACCAACAAAAACAAAAACAAAAAACATAAGTGGAGCAACGACTCAAGTTATAGAACGCTAGTCTGGAGCAAAAAGCTTAGGGACAGTACCTGAACCCTGAGTTCAAGTCCTAGGACCAAAACAAAAAAAAATAAAAGAAATATATATCTACATATCTATATCTATATCTATTGGCATAGATATAGATATCTATATAAGAGATAGATAGATAGATAGACAGACAGATAGATAGAGATATAAACTCCCAAGTCTCTGGGACAATATGTGATCTTGGACAAACCCTAGGCAGAATAGACACTAATATATTTTAATGTGATATTACCATGATTATGTAGAAGATGGTACTTGTTCTCAGGGCAGCCATGCTTAAGTACAGGTTGTGTCACATGTCTATAGTTTTAAGTGGCAGGCAGGTGAGGGGGAGCTATAGAAAGGGGAGCAGGACAAGTATATGCTTTGAACTATATATTGGTGAAAAGTATTTGATGCTTATTGTACATGACTTTCAACTACTCTGTAGGTCTGCAAAGGAGAAGGTCTCCAGAGCGATTCTGATGATCAGGTAGTCATGGACAAACCACCCGCTCAGTGTATCTCTACCAGAATCTGCTAATCATCACTGTAGTGATGACAAAAAGCCTATTATTTCCCAAGACAGCCCTGTGTATCTGAGGAGACATGGTTGAAGAGACAGTTTCCCTTTCACATCTGCTTGTAGTTCTTTGACCATCCCTTCCCCTACCAGGGCTCTGCAAGGTGGTCTCACAAGCACAGTTTGCAAACAGCCACTTCATGCTCCTCGGGGGGTACAGACATGCAATTACTGCAGCTTTGCTTCTGCAACATGGCTTCAGTAATCAGAGGGGCTTGGTGACCGAGTGGTAATCCTAATAGACTACCTCACCTAGGCCTATGAGTGAGTGTTCTGGAGAAGGCAGTGAGGTAGCAAACTGACTATGCCTGGTATGTGTGTGTGTGCATGTGCGTGCGCATGCACATGCAATTTAGGTGTATAGTGCACACTTGTATTTTGGGAGAAGAAACAAGAGTTTTCTAGAAGCCTGGGATGACAATGGTTAGGAAGCAGCATGAAGTGCTCCTGAACCTAGGCCTAGGGCATTGCTCCAGGACCACTAACCTGGTGACAGCTGAGGTCTTCCAGGGGCATTGGCACTGGGAGGAGGTGGGATGTCAGACTCCAGGGAGGTCTCCTCCTATAGATGACAGGAGACGATGGTCAGAATTTTCTCATTCAAAGTTCTCTGGATTGAGGGGACAATCCTGTGGAGTCCCTCAGAAAAGACTTCCTAAAAGTTGTTAGGGTGTTACTTGGAAAAGGCTAGGGACAATGTTGGTTAAAAGGAAAGACAAGGTTGGCCCAATGGAAACAAAACCCACATCAGGAATAGAAATCCAACTTGTCATCCCTTCTGCCATACTGGAAATCCACTGGATGGCTATCCTCTTGTTTCAAGTACAAAGGAAAAACTCCACTTCCCAAAACTCTTTAAAGCAACTGGATAGAATGAGTCTGACTGGGGAGAGCAGAGCCCGTATATATCTGGCTACAAAGTCTGAAGAGAGACCAGCTGCCCTATGATCATTGAACACTCGGATCCAAACAGGAGCACTCTTGAGGCTCCATGGAAAGGCAGTCCCCTGAGGGGAAGAAAGCAACAATAGCAACTCCAGAAGCAGAGGACAGTAAGGCCTACTCCTCTAAAGGAGTACTGAGGGTTGCTAGTCAGGCACTCTGCCACTACATACATACGTACATACATGTAAGCATACATACATGCACATACACACTGTTTTGCTTTAGTTATTTTTCAGGTAAGGTTTTGTGCTTTTATCCATGACAGATGGCCTCAAGATGACAAGAGACCCTTCACCCCATGCCACGCTCTAGGTGGGACCATAGGTGCTATTCCTAACTTATTGATATATCTCCATGTATATGTGTGTATGTGTATATGTATGCTGGTCCTGGGGCTTGAACTCAGGCCTGGGCTCATCCCTGAGCTTTTTTTGCTCAAAATTAGCACTCTACCACTTGAGCATAACTCCACTTCCAGCTTTTTTTTTTTGTAGTTTAGTAGAGATAAGAGTCTCATGGGCCTTTCCTATCCCAGCTGGCTTGGAATCACAGTCCTCAGATCTCAGCTTCCTAAGAGGCTAGATTATAGGCATGGGCAGATTATTGGTAGGATTATAGGCATGAGCCACTAGGGCATGGCTTTGCTTTGTTTTTAAAAGTATCACACCAACCAACACATTGATCCTTCTCCCTAGTGAAGAAGATACATCTGGGAAAACCTAACCCTCCAGTACTGCTCCCCAAGTCATCCTGACAAAGATCCACAGCAGTAGGGCTGCAACTGAGTCCCTCCGATGTGTCCACTTTTCCTCCTTCCAGAGAGAGATCTGCAAAAGGTGGGATGATGGGGTTCAGGCCTTAGCACTACATTACCTGGGGCGGCTGCTGAGGCTGAATCCGCAGCTCCACTGGCTCCAGGTAGTTGCAAGGAACAAGCCCCTTCTGTGGTTCAGCATCGCAGAATCCAAGGGGAAGATAGAGATGTGCTTGTCAGCACCCAGCCCCAGAACAGCCCATAGGGACCAGCAGGGATGGTGTACATAACAAAGAAGTGAACTGGCCTGCTCCACAGAAAGCTCTGCTATTTGCCACCAGGATCCCATTCCTTCAGCACTTTCCCCTGGCCCCTGAATACCTGCCCATTGAACATGACTGTGGCCCAGTTGTCATTGCCCTTCTTCAACACAAAGACGATGTTCCCTGGCATGACCTGGAGCTCCTCGGATGTCTCCGGCACAAACCCAAACAGCACACGGTGAGCCTCCCCTTCCAGAGCCCTGCAGTGGGTAGACACGGGATCCAGTCCACAATGGACTTAGAGGGGAGACTCATGTCAGACCGCTGCATACACAGTCCTGTCTTCCCCATGGAGTAAGATGCTCCTCGGGGGACCAGATACTCGGTGCTTGCCTTCCCTAGACTCCCAAGAGGGCTAGGTAAGAACCCCTGTCAACCTGTTGCTTAACTACATAGAGTCTCTCCTAAACCAACAGGAGGCAATGATCCAAGATACTTAGGAGAGCCTGAAACCACACCTAATATCAAACTCTATGTACTAACGTTTCCCCGTCTTTCCTGTCTGATCTAAATGCTTATTACATACCATGGCTGTCACTTTTACAGTCTGAGATGCAACAGTAAAACCAGCCTAAACATCTTTGTCTTTCTTAGCAATGTCAATGATGGAAGGTTTGTTTTCACTATGGATCTTAGCAACCCCTCAACACATGATCTCTCCCCCTTCTATTAAATCAACAACTTCCACTTTTTTACTTCTCTTTGGCATAAGTACATTGCTGATATCACTACCCTTATGCTTCAGAGCCATTACCAAATAAAACTATGAAACAGAGGGAGTGAACTTGTTCAAATGCATTTATGTGACTATTGCAACGAAACCCCCTTGTACTGTTGATATATACTAATAAAAAATAAAGACTCAGATAGGCACTGATAATTCATGACTATAATCGTAGCTACTCAGGAGGCTGAGATCTGAGGATCACAATTCAAAGGCAGCCTGGGCAGGAAAGTAAGAAAGTCCATGTAACTCTTTTCTCCAGTCAACCACCAAATAGCTAGAAATGGGGCTATGGCTCAAAGTGGTAGAGCACTAGCCTTGAGCATAAAACCTCAGGGATAGCATGCAGGCCATGAGTTCAAGCCACAGGACCAGCACCAAAAAAATAGTCAAACAGACAAAAATACGTCTCGAGATGAAGAGATCTGATAATGCCTGTCCTCAGTCCTGTCTTCAGAGGACATACTCCAAGTGTGGGCTGGGTTGGTGACCGTGGAAGTCAGGTGAGCCAGCTGAGTGAGAAAGATGAGTGGAGAGAAGTTGCCTAGGCCAGCCTGCATCCCGGAAGGAGGAAGGGGATGAATAGCTACCGGTGAGCTTTTATGCTGTTCTGTGTGTTAGGCAATGTTTAATCTCTTCGATTCCTCAGAACCCATGATACTTCTTCTCACTCATTGGGCCAAGTGAGGGAGGTTGGCTTCAAAGCCGCCTGTACGTGGGGTTTCAGGTTCACGCTGCTCATGCTCCATGCAGCTTTGTTTCCAGATGCCCTGTCCCTTCATGACCCTTCCAGCCACAGGATTTAGACATGCCTATCCACCTCTCCCTTTGGTAATGGCTACCATACTTTTTTTAAAACTTTTTCCAGCCTCCTTTGCTGGTAGGGAGCTAGGCTTGCTTTGTTATTTATTATAGGGAATTCTTAAGAAAGCTGGCGGTTAGGACATGCTTTGTTTCTCATCTTACAGAAGAATAGACTTCCTTTTCTTGGGTCCTTCCTCATATTTCTTCATAAAAACAGGTGCAAAAATGAGTAGGAAACACCCACACAGGAAAGGGTTCGCCATGTTAATTTCCTGGCTACATAGCTTCGAGGGGACTGTGGCCAAGACGAAACTGGCCCCTGTCCATGGAGCCATGTTCTTCAGGACAACTACTGCACTGCAACTACCCCTTATTACATGGGTGGCTGTACACACTGACTTGGGGATGGTAGGAAACCCCATAGCTTTGGAACCCCTTCCCCACTGCAGAGTAGACTGTCATCCTAATAGATCATTCTGTCCTAACCTTGAAAACAGAAGGCTTCTACTCAGGCTTGGCGCTTGGCCATTCTGCCTTTGGATCTACTTCTAACTTACCTGAAAATCTCTGGGGTTTTGGGTCTGGGTGGAGGCTCAGCTGCCTGTGAAATATTTGGGAGACATGAGTAGGGGAGGAGAGTGAGGGAAAAGAAGAGAGAGCAGACTGTTAATGGTAATTTGAGCATTCTTCCAGGCTAGAAAACAAAGACTGCATGTCTGGCTGATGGAAACACAGTCCAGAAAGAAAGTACAGTGCTCCCTGACTAAACAAAAGAAAATAACACCTCCCTGGGCTCCCTAGCCACAGCTTTCACCAGCACAGCAATTCCTCTGGAGCCGCAGCTGCTTTGTACAGAAGGCTAGCTGTCACTGAGCATCCGGGTGTCAGGGGAGTGCTTCTGACCTTGAGCTCTGCTCCCTTCCCAGGATTGTTTCCAAAAGCTCTGTTCTATAATTAATGTCTGCCCTATCATATGACACTCCTGGGGATTGAAAACCAATTCAGGATCCACTGACCAAGCAAGGATCTGCGTTCAATGCCCACTCCCTGTGCCCCACTGGAGATCACAGACTCCAGTTATCTGGGCTTCTCTGGTCTCCTGCACAGCTCGGGCTGTACCGAAGCCCAAAGGGCTTCTTCCAAGCTCTCTCCAACTTTACAAGTGAAGCAAGAGTCTGTGTAGTCTTGACGCTGCCCCTTTCCATCCCTCTTAACTCAGCCTATCTCCCAGAATCCCCAGTTGGCTGCATACTGATCCAGCAGTGGTTGTCCACACAGGCAAGCGCCTGCGTACAGGAAAGTCGTCGTCTTTTCCTCTTCTGCTCACCCACCACAGTCCCATCACAACAGGGTTTGTATTTTCCTTACCCTGTTTCCCTCTCTTTCTGTCACAAGGAAGAGCCTCCTACATTTCACCATCTACCACCACCCAGTCCAGCTGGATCCAGCTCTCTGAATAAACCTTGGGCTGAAATTCAGATCCCTAAGCACCTTGCCATAGTTCCCAAGAGAGGCCCCTGAGCAGAAGGCATTTTAGAGGGGGAGGCTTGGCTTCGGAAGCTGAGAGGAAGCTGACAGGGCCTTATTCCCTACCAGCCACAGGAGCAGGGTCTGGGCATGGGTAGGCCGATTACCCACAGCTGGCTGGTCTGAGAAGCCCTGACAGCATGGTAGCTCGATACCTCTGCTCCCCCAGGGGGCTGTTTCCTACACAGCTTTGGAACCCTCGATCTGGGGCAGGTCTGCCTCACCTGTGGCTGCAGAGGGGCAAATCCAGAGAAACTGTCCTGATCCACCACAGATGCCACAACCTGAAACAGAACAGGAGCACGTGAGAGCTGCACCCGCTCTGCTTTCTCCCCAACATCCTCTCCCGTCCTCAAGTGCACACCACAGGTCCGTTTTCATGGATTCCAGAGGTGATGGTGGCTGAGTATCAGGTTACCTGTCCTGTAGGTTAGAAGTTCCTGCAACCATAGAAGCGGGGTGGATTTTGTTGTTGTTGTTTTGTTTTGTTTTTAATGCTGGTACTGGGGTTTAAACCTGGGGCCTAGTCACTGTCCCTGAGCCATTTCGCTCAAGGTTAGTGCCCTACCATTAGAGCCTAAGCTCCACTTCTGGCTTTTTTGGTGGTTGATTGTAGATAAGAGTCTCATGAACTTTCCTGCCTGGGCTGGCTTCAAAGCACAATCTTCAGATCTCAGCCTCCTGAGTAACTAGGATTATTAACATGAACCAGCATACAGCTCAAAGCTAGTATTTACCTCACTACCACCAATAACCCAGGCCCACTTTCTCTCTCTCTTAAAATCTTTCTTGATGTGCAAGTCATATGAATTATTAATCAAATATTAATAATGATAAATTATGCACTTAATATAAATTAATTCATCAAATTAACGGTTTTAAGTAATTCAGTGGTAGTACATCCACATTGCTTTGCAACTATCATTTCTAGCTAGTTCCAAAACATTTTAATCACTCCCCAAGAAAATGTCATACCATTTTCAGCAGTCTTCAGCTCCTTCCTCCTAGCCTGGCAACAGCAGTCTGTCTCCTATCTCAGTAGAGTTACCAATTCAAAGACTATAAATACAATTAGAGAGCGTATGGCCTTTTGTGACTGGCTTCTTACACATAGCATAAAGTTTTTAAGGTTCATCCATGTTTTCAAAGTTCAGCCACATCACCACTACTAGCTCATACAGCTTTTGTTTCTGTACCACATTTTTAAGGCTGAATAATATTCCATCACATATATGCCAGGATTTGTTTATCCATTCATTCATTGGTGGATATTTGGATTATTTTTATTGTCATGTTCTTCTGGCTTCTGCAGCTTTACCAGATCTAGCTACCCAGCCCCTTTACAAAAGTCAAAGCCAATGCACTTTTGTTGTTGTTTGTTTGTTTGGCACAGGTCTTAAGGCTTGAACTCAAGGCCTAGACACTGTCCTTAAGCTGTTGTGCTTGAAGCTAGCACTCTACCACTTGAGCCACAGCTCTATTTCCAGTGTGTGTGTGTGTGTGTGTGTGTGTGTGTGTGTAATTGGGGAGAAGAGTTTCATGGCCCCAGCTAGCTTCAATCTACAATCCTCAGATCTCAGCTTCCTGAGTAGCTAGGATTACAGGTGTGAGCCACTGGTGCCAAGGCAGTTTTGGGTTCAGAATGAGCCCAGGTGAAGGTGGCGTCTGGTCACAGGGCTGTGGAAGTAGGGAGAGATTCCTCAGAACACAGAGGTCAGACTTCAGGGAGCACTGAGCCAAGGTTGTTCTGTCTCCTAACAGGTTCTCTCCACATTCATTGAGCACCTCCTAGCTGTGTCTCCTTTCCGTGGGCTTAGTCACAAGACCCAGCAGCCCCAGAGTAACCTAGGGGGATTCGGTCTAGGGCCAGGCTGGAAGGAAGATATGTGAGGGACTGGTAGAAAAATCACTAGTAGCATTTACCCGTGTTATCACTGTAAGCTAGACACTAGCTGTCATCCTGGGGCAGAGCCATCAGACGGCGGCCCTCTCTTCCCAAGAGCCCCTCCCATACTGCCCCACGTGGCTCAGGACCCAGGAGGTGGGGAAGACAAGTTGCACCTACTGTAGCCTTGCCCAGATAATCCTTCTTGGCAAGCTGAGCCACTTGTCTCTCATTTGGTCGAAACAGCCTACCCACCGGAATCACCACCGGCTCGAACAGCTTCTGTTTCTGTAACATAGAATCAAAGGACAGCCACCTGTCACTCAACCATGGTGATGGCTTCTGAGAAATGCCTACAGAGTTGATTGCATCATTGTGAAAGCATCAGAGGGCGCGTGCTTACACAAATCTAGATGGTGCAGCCGTAGCCCCCAAGGAGGTGGCCAGGTGACCAGAACACCTCCCCCCTACAACGACACTGAAAATAGGGGTGACGAGACTTGATCCTGCTGCTCTTATTGAAGAGCTGCAATCACCTCATGAAAGCACTTTTTTTTTTTTTCCAAATTGGAAGGACAGATCTGGAGTGTGAATGGCTGGCTTTAATATGACTTTACGTTCGCTTGTTTGTCCAGCGCCCTCTTTTCCCTAGGAACCTCCCCCCCTCCCACTCCATGGTGTTTGAGGAAGGAGGTTCTCTCCCAGCATAGAGGACACGAGGACTTAAGCCATAATGGTGGCAACACTGTCTTGGGACTGACCGGCATTGCAGATGTAGACAGGTCTACAATGACTGACTTAGCTAGTAGGGGAAATAACAAAGGAGGGTGTAATAACGCTCGACAGGAAATGGACTCATCACCTTAGTCATGTGTAACTGTAACCCCTCTGTACAGTATCTTTACAATAAAAAAATATATTTTAAAAAAAGAAATCTAATAGACAACTAGCTTTGTTCCCAAATGCAAGTGCTCAAGCTATGGATAATTTTCCTCATTCCTTCTATAATTGATTTTCATTGTTGTTGATGTTATTGGGTTAAGGTGTGTGTGTGTGTGTGTGTGTGTGTGTGTGTGTGTGTGTGTGTGTGTGTGTGTACTGGTACTGGGGATTGAACTCAGGGCCTTACACTCTTGCTTTTTCACTAAAGGTTGGCACTCTTCCACTTGAGCCATACCTCTTCCTGTTTATTTACTGGTTAATTGAAGGTAAGAGTCTCTATTTGTCTGCCCAGGCTGGTTTCAAACCTCGATCCTCACATCTCAGGCTCCTGATTAGCTAGGATTTCAGGCAGAAGCCACAAGTCACCAGCAATTTATCAATGGATAAGTTGTGTAGAGGCATACCATTCTGGCATGGTGTGGGGCTCTGAGGGCTCCAAGGTGAACTAACAAATATGGCTACTGCCCTACAGGATTGGAGGCTGCAGCTGCACATCACAGCATAGTTCCTAACATCCTCTTCCCTAGGGGCTGCTGGGGAGCCCTACTTATAAGGGACTCAGGGCCTCTATCATCTTAACCTCACAGCCTTGACTTCTTAGCACAGGTTCAAGGTCTGAACTGGAATAATGCAATGAAGTCTTCCATTCATGGTGTCCTCAGAAACAAGTAAGAATCCAAGTAATTCTCTTGTCCATCTCCCCAACATCAGCAGCACCCTCACCCAGACGCTTTCCAGGGCCTTGTCAATTTTGGAATGCCGGGGCTCTGACTTCATCTTCATGGCTACTGCCAACTGCTCTTCCGCCTTTTTCCACTCTTCCTTCTTGGCGTACAAGAAAGCGATATTATATAACACCTAGAAAGGCAGAGATCACACACAAGACTCAAGACCATTGTAAGGCCAGGTGCCAGAAAAGAGCTTCTATGAACATACAGGGAATGTCTCCTTCCTCAGCTCTCCTGTAGATATGGAAATTATTTAATGAGTCAGTCTTGCACTAAAATAGTGTGACAAAGTGTGAGCCAATTCAGCAGTGATACTCACTTAGACACTATGTTGGAAATGAACTATACAAGTTGAGGGGGCAGGGGAGGGAGAGAGAAAATGGGAGAAAATGGGAGGGAGTGACACTGTTCAAAAGGAAATATAGGGGTTGGGAAGGTGGCTCAGTGGTAGAGTGCTTGTCTCGTATGCATGAGGCCTTGGGTTCAATTCCTCAGCACCACATAAACAGAAAAGGCCGGAAGTGGCACTGTGGCTCAATTGATAGAGCATTAGCCTTGAGCTAAAGAGCTCAGGGATGCACCCAGGCCAAGAGTTCAAACCCCACGACCGATAAAAAAAAAAAAGGAAATATATTCATTACATGACTTATGCAAAGAATCCCTCTGTACATCACCTTTACAATAAAAACTTTTTAACAAAATGTAGGTTTCCAGCAAGGTAGATAGAAATGGAATGATTCTAGTTGAAGAAAAACCCTTAAATATATAAAAAATATTAGTTTTGCTAATGTCAAGCATGAACATGGCATTAAGAAAGCATCACATCGTATGTAAACCCTAACAGCCAGTAGGTCAGGAGAGGACAAGAACTATTGTGCTGCTGCGATGGGGAGGAGATACCTGCCCAGGGCCTCTTACCAAGGCAGAGTTGGGTCTAAAACATAGGTGTGTGTCTTGTCAGTCAGATCCTGCCTCCGAGCTTAAGCTGAGCCACAGGACAGGTACAAGATCAGAGAGGATTCTACATGCACCGTTCTGCACCAGGACCTGGCCGGGGCTACATGAGTACAAGACTGGAACACAGCAGTAGAAATGAGGCAAATCCATGGGCAAAGCCCGACTGAGCTAGAGAGAGCTGGAGTCCACATAGAGAAAGGGGAAGGGACAGCAAACCCAATAATCACTTCATCTACCATGTCTTTAGCTGGGTTCATCACCATACTTAACAACTTACAGGATCAAACAACTGGATGCATTGGTAAGATGCACACACACACACACACTCCAAAACAAAAACATGCCGGGCATCAGTGGCTCATGCTTGAAACCCTAGCTACTCAGGAGGCTGAGATCTGAGGATCGTGGTTCAGAGCCAGCCCGGGCATCTGAGTTCAAGCCCCAGGACTGGCAGGACCCTACTTAAGTGGAAAAAAGAGGGTATTGTGGAGAAGAAGGGGTGAAGGATTTGACACATCATCTAATGTCTTGGCTCACTCTAAGGACACCAGCTGCGGTGAAGACTCAGGCAGCCCTAGGCAGCTGTTATATGAAAGGAACAGTGGCCTCTCACCAGCAGCACTCACTTACCACACAGGCATGCGCAGCAGCAGTGATCTGTCTAAGGAGTTGGGCTATGCTAGATAGTGCAGCCAGGACCAGTACTAGAGGTGGAGATCTGGACTTCCTTCCAGAACTTCCGTGTGCTGATGTCTTCTGCATTCTGATGGTCCCTGGCTGAGGATGTTTTGTCTTGGGATATTTTGCCTTTACAAAAGTGCAAAAGTGGTAGAAATGTACCTCTCAATTTGCATTTTGAGCTTTTCCGACATGAGGGATGCATGCTATGACATTCTCTTGCAGTTCAAGCAATGGTCTTGGGCTGTGGTCTCAGTCAGCTTCATGGTCACAAGGGCAAGCAAGGTAGCAAGCACTGGAGGGCTAGGCTCATAAACTATGCTGTCCAGTAGCTTGGATGTCTACAATGACAACTTTGGATATTTTAAACTTCAGATGGGTTTATCAGGACAGAATGTGGGATTTTGAGGCAAGCAGCCTCTGTACATGATTCTATTTCCCATGTCTCAGGTCATCTCAACCCCAGCTATAGAAAGGACTTTTCCCCCATGAAGCTCAGCTTGGACATCACTGTAGCTTGATCCTTTTTTTCCCTAGAAAAGGACCAATGGTCAGCTAGTCCTTACATCTGTACAAAGTGACTGGCGGTGTGTAGTGACAAGCAGCTAGCATCTACTGGGGGATAGGTCAGAGATGGCACTGAAGATCCCACAGTGCATGCAAGAATGTTTTGCAGATCAATAGCGCCATAGTTTAGAGACTCCTTTAGCATCTGGCCAAATGCCGGTCAAGTTCCCAAAGCAAAGTCTCATCTTCCCAGATTAGGAGAAGTGGCGTGAGCACTGAGCCTCCTGGAGGGCTGAGATGGGGGGCCACGTGTCCCCAGGGACCTAAGGCAGCCGTGGATTCTATTTTTACTTCTAGTCCTGAGCAACCCTGGGAACACTTGACTTCTCATGCCTGAGAAAATAAAGCAAGGGGACTTCCACTCCCCACTCAGGAATTCTTCTAAATAAAGACACCCGTAATATTTGCAAGAGCTGTAGTTTTTAAATCTTCTGGTATGTGTTTGGAGGAGGGGAGGGTTGTTTAGAGAAAGGACATGAACTTGCTAAGTCAAAGCCAGCTACGTTTTCTCCTTTTTGGTAATACAGACGTTGTCCTTCTATGGAAAGCTTTACTTAGATTCCTGCTTTGAGCTGTTCTTTGAACGAGAAGGGGCAGATTGTTACCATGCTGTCCTCACTCTCTCTGAGTGACAACCGAGTTTGGGGTTGAGAGCTATTAATAGCAACGAGAGAGAGAGAGAGAGAGAGAGAGAGAGAGAGAGAGAGAGAGAGTGTGTGTGTGTGTAAAAGAGAGAGAAACCTGAAAACCTAGCATGGTTACAGCAACTGCTGCCAGGAGACTGAACCCATGAGTTTGGGTTTGTTAGTGTAATGCTAAGCAAATAGAACATGCAAATTATTCTGGATACTTTTATAGATCCACACACTGGTCCTGTCTCTCTGCAGAAAGACCCATGGGCTCACGGTTTTGTTTGTTTGTTTGAGGGTTTTTTTTTGCATGCATTTTGAAGCCTAGTAGTAATAAAAACATATTGCTTCAGGTAACTAATGGCTCCATGAGGAGTCTGAACCATCTGAATCTCTTTGCTATTTATTTACTTGTTTGTTTATTTATTTAAATAGTGTTGGTGATCAAATCCTTGGCCTTGCAAATACTAAGTGATTTACCACTGAACTATATCTCTAGTCCACATGATCTTTTCCTTCCTTCCTTCCTTCCTTCCTTCCTTCCTTGCTTCCCTCCTTTCTTCCTTCCTTCTTTCTTCCTTCCTTCCTTCCTTCCTTTCTTTCTTTCTTATTTATATATTTAGTGGTTCAGTATTGGGGCTTGAACTCAAGGCTTCTCATTCTTGCTTAGCTTTTTCACTCAAGGTTGGTGCTCTTACCCACTTGTGCCATACATCTACTTCTGGTGTTTTGGTGATCAATTGGAGATGAGTCTCTCAGACTTTTCTTTTCCAGCTGGCTTTGATGGGGATCCTCAGATCTCAGCCTTCTGAGTAGCTAGGATTATAGGCATGAGCCACAAACATCTGGCTCTGAGTCTTTTCTTTCTTTTTTTGTGCCAGTCCTGGGCTTGAACTCAGGGTCTGAGCTCTGTCTCTGAGCTTCCTTTTACTCAAGGCTAGTGCTTGAACCACAGTGCCACTTCTGAGTAGTTTACTGAAGAGTCTTACAGACTTTCCTGCCCAGGCTGGCTTTGAACCTTGATTCTCAGATCTCACCTTGGACCCCAGATCTCTGAGTCTTTTCTTAAGGAGGGAAAAAAATCTGAGTCCTCAGGCCCAAGAGTCACAATGACTTTCATAAGAATCCACAAGGGTCAGCAGCCCGTGGTGCCTGGGAACCCTCCTTCCCAGCCTAGCCCTGTCCTCACCTCACAGGCAAACAGCTTGAACTGCAGCCCCAGGATCTTGTAGTCAATCAGCTGGTTCCCACGAAGCTGAGTGAAGGCTTCTTTAAGATCTTTAATAGCTAAGTCGTATCTGCAGACAGAAAATAAAGCAGTCTAAGTATGGAGAAAAAGATGCAGAATAGACAATTTCTTGCTTCTCCTATCCCTATTTCACAGGAGGAAGCAGCCTTGCAGATTTCTTTCAGCTTGCTCTGGTGGTTCACCCACCCTGGGCGCAAGGATTCTGCAGACATAGTGACTCATAGGTCCCAGAGGGCTCTAGGCTGGGATGGTCACAGGGATTTTCTTCTCTATAGATGGTATACCATTTCCATCTTTCTAAAACAACAACAACAACCTGGTTTGGCCTTCAGATTCCGCCTTTATACTCTTTTAAGAGCAAAGCCACACCTGCCCACGCCTCTTTCTGCCAAGTCTCAGAGCTGATTCAGAGCATTCTTTCTCCTGATTCCCCCACTACCCCAAGGTCAGGCTCGCCTAGCACAGCAGCAATGGTCCCTCCTCAAGCTACTTACAACATCCCCCCCCCCCCCCCCGCTTTATCCTAAGACTTTATTTACTTATTTATTTATTCACTTATTTTTGGTGCTAGTCCTGGGGCTTGAACTCAGAGCCTAGGCTCTGTCTCTGAGCTTTTGTGTCCAAGGCTAGTCTTCTACCACTTCAGCCATAGCTCTACTTCTGGATATTTTTTTTTTTTATAGTTTATTGGACATAATAGTCTCACAGACTTCCCTGCCTGGCTGGCTTTGAACCATGATCCTCAAATCTCAGCCTCCCGAGTGGCTAGGATTATAGGTATAAGCCACCATTGTCCAGCTGAAGACATTTTGTTTGCTTGGTTTTTTATTGTCAAGGTGATGTACAGAGGGGTTTCGGTTACATAAGTAAGGTAACGAGTACACTTCTTGTCAAACTTGTTGAAGATGTTTTGTTTCTTAAGGTAAACCCTAAGTTTACTTGAAAGTGAAGGGGAGGCCTTGAAAGGAACTATGGAGAGACTGTCCCTTTGGAGGGGGGCCGGGAACAAAGAGGACTCATCCTGGGACTTTTTTTTTTTTGGTCGTGGGGTTTGAATTCTGGGCCTGGGCGCTGTCCCTGAGCTCTTCAGTTCAAGGCTAGCGCTCTACCACTTGAGCCACAGCGCCACTTCCGGTTTTCTGGTAATTAATTGGAGATAAGAGTCTCACAGACTTTCTTGCCTGGGCTGGCTATGAACCACAGTCCTCAGATCTCAGCCTCCTGAATAGCTAGGATTACAGGCGTGAGCCACCAGCACCTGGCTTTCATCCTGGGACTTCCTTGGGTCCAATTTAGCTCCTAGTTTTGTGGCCTCACCATCTCCTTTCCCATCCTGCCTCTTCCTCATGCTTTGGAAAAGGGGGTGAAGCTAGTCCGTATTTTTAAGGCTGCTTCTGATATGGCATGTACTTTGCTGCTGGTGTGCTGACTAGCTCAAGCTATATTAGGGCTGATGACCTGGAATTTCACCTAGAATGGGGACCCCCACATTATGGATGCAGGGCTGTGGGCAGGACTTAAGATTCACATCCAGAGGAGGCCCTGACCTTCAGAGGCCCCGATGGAAGAGGACCACTGCTAGATTACAGTGAGTGGGGACAACACCACCAGCCCAGCCCACCTGTCACTCCACTAAGCCCCTGGCACACAGGAACCCATCTTGGCTATTTGGTTGTGTCTCCTACTTGGGTAGCTGGGCTGAAAGCTCCTAGGCCACTGCCACCTAGAGCTGGCAAGGATCTTTAAGGGGTAGCGTGGTGGAGGGAGGGCTCTTGAGGGCAGGGACAGGAGCCAGGAACCAGGCCTCACTATTGGTGGATCCTTGAATCATCACCCTGTCATATAGGACTGTGTTGTCTGCAGATGATCGACAAAGAATCTATAAAGGAGGAACTAGCTTCTGTGTGGTTCCAGCTCCAATTTGAGTCTTGGCTTTGCCACTCATGTCCGGTGAGGAAAGTCAAGTTACTTCACTGTTTCCTCATCTGTAGTAACAATGGCAATTCTGGGCTGGGAATGTGGCTTTATAGTAGTAGCCTTGCATGCATGAAGCCCTGGGTTTGATTCCTTAGTACCACATAAGCAGAAAAAACCAGAAGTGGTACTGTGGCTCAAGTGGTAAAGTGCTAGCCTTGAGCAAAAAAAAAAAAAAGCTCAGGGACAGCGTTCAGGCCCTGAATTCAGTCCCTACAACTGACATACACACACACACACACACACACACACACACAAACAAGCAAACAAAAAGAATGGCGATTCTCACAGGGATGTTGTAAACACTATATGTAAAAAAGGTCCCTGACACATTTGTTCCTAATTTTTTTTTCAGTTCTAAATTCTACCAATTGTAGAATTACCTAGCAAGTGTGAGACTCTCAGTTCAAAACCGCAGTACAACATGTTCAACCCATGTACCAATCATCTGTCAGAGCATTATTTAAAACTCTGCACTGTATTAGCTATTTTCATGAGATTAAAAACACAGTGTAGACGCTGGGACTGAGATAAGGAGACTTAGAGCTGACCAGAGGGGCTGGTTGGCCTAAGAGAGAGCCTAAGGGTCCAGGTGTTAGAGGAAGAGATGGAGCTGCCATCCCTACTAGAGGAACGTGTGTGTGTGTGTGTGTGTGTGTGTGTGTGTGTGTGTGTGTGTGTCACTTGAACTCAGGCCTTGTGCTCTTGCTAGGATTGCATGCTCACAGCTGGTGCTTTATCACTTGACCTGCACCTCCAGTCTGGCATTTTGCTAGTTAATTGCAGATGGAGTCTTTCAGATTGGAACCTTTTATCATCCAGATCTCAGATCCTTAGTAGCTAGATTTATAGGCATGAGCTACTGGTTCCCTCTCAATCTTAAGCAGCTCACAAACAGTGGCAGTGGTGGCTAGAGGGGCAATGGGAGAAGAAAGAGAGTTTGGGTTTGAAACAGGAGCATCGCTCTCTCCAATATCCTTACTGCTAACAGAGATAGTTATAAAATGCGTGAAAGCATGGGCGCCCTTCCTTAGGAAGCAATGGGCATTTCAAAGTCATCGCCGCACATCTTTCACATGACCCCGAGTGGTGGGAAGGGAGAGTTGGCACGAAGGCATCATCGGTCCATCCTTCCAAGCTGTTTCTCTGAGCTGATGAGGGGGCAGGTGGTGGCGCAGGTATCCTGTTCCCTGAGCAGCTACAATTTCCATGGCAGGTCTCAGAGGGCACGCTAAAGTGTCATCAGCATTAACTTACAAATGGGCCTTCCTCCCTGCTGAGCAGGCGAAGCAGATGGATTTCAGCTGTGAAGAGACATGCCTGGGTCTACCTGGACCTGCAGGAGCCCAGCAAACCTCACCTTGTAATTCTCCCACTCCTAGAGATGTCCCTAGCGTGACAGAGAAAGAACTGACAGACAATTCCGAGTGCTTGCTCTGAGTGACAAGACAATAACAAAACCCCCAAACAAACTAGCTTTTGTGCTCAAGGCTAGTGCTCTAGTACCTTGAGCCACAGCTCCACTGTCAGCTTTTTGGTGGTTAGTTGGGAATGAGAGTCTCACAAAGCCTGGGCCTCATTTCTGTAATCCTAGCTACTCAGGAGGCTGAAATCTGAGGATTGCTGTTCAAAACCAGCCATGGCAGAATGTCTATGTGACACTTATTTCCCATTAACTACCAAAAAAGTCAGAAGTGGCGCTGTGGCTCAGTGGTAGAGTAATAGCCTTGAGCACAAAAAGCTTAGGAACAGAGCTTAGGCCCTGAGTTCAAGCCCCAGTTGCAGCACACACACACACACACACACACACACACACACACACACACACAATCTCACGGACTTAGCCTGCCTGGGTCGGTTTTGAATTGCAATCATCAGACCTTGGCCTCCAGAGTAGCTAGGATTACAGGCATGAGCCACTGTTTTCTAACTCTAATGTCCCATTTTAAACATGTCTTTGAATGCATCCTCCCTCTCTATTCTTGGTCTCTCTTCTCTCCCCCCCCCCCCCCCGCAGTGCATCCACAGGGTGTAGGTGGCCATGCTTTGACACACAGCTCTGTTTCCTGCTGTACAGGTCTGAATAGGCTCAATATGAAAAGTCCAAAATAGAGCTCAGCCCTATGTGTGGTGCAGTGGGCGGTGGGTACAGGCCTGCCTCCCTCTAGCTCCTCTTCAAACTCCTCTTCCATGTGAAAGCCTCCTGTGGAGTCAGCAGGAGCACCTGCTCACCACAGGCTCTGAGGGTTCTGTCTCTCTCCCTCCACACACCCATACTCAGTAATACCCTATTGTGCAGTGCCAGCCCTTGTGGCCCCAGGCTGGGGCTTCCCACCATGGCTTCGCAGCATGAGAAGGTTCCTCATCCAACCTCTTTTGTAACAGGCCTTAGAAAGGTTTCTTAGTAACCACAGAAGTTCCTGCTGCTCTCCTGCTACCAATGTAGCTACCACGTAGCCCAGATTCCTGTAGTTCACACACCCATAGCTAACATATCAAGAATCTTTGGGATACTGTAGTACACCTCTGACAGGGGTTTTGATTCCACCCTTTCTCATCTGGAGCTCAGCAGGAAGGACTGACTGCAGGTCTCCTTTTTTTTGTCCGTTGTGGGGTTTGAACTTTCAGCCTGAGCACTGTCCCTCAAGGTTAGAGCTCTACCACTTGAGCCACAGCGCCACTTCCAGTTTTCTGAGTTTTTATTGGAGATAAGAGTCTCACAGACTTTCCCGCCCAGGCTGGTTTTGAACTGTGATCCTCAGATCTCTGCCTCCTGAGTAGCTGGGATTATAGGCGTGAGCCACCGGCGCCCGGCTCAGGTCTCCTTTCTACGTAACATCTGAAGGGAGCTACCACTTTTTACGAACAACTTTGGGTTGACAAGTATAGGGCCAGAGAGGGCAGACAGCATGGCCAGGATAACAAAAGACACCACCTGCCTCTTGGGAAATGCGCTTGGACTTTGTTCTGCTGGAACTTCTAGATGACAGGAAAGCCATGCCATGACCTGAGATGGCTGGGGAGAGAGTGACCTTATCACTCTAAAACAAGTCCTTCTGCAATCAAACATGGTTCTTAACCACTTAGTAAGGAATCATTGCTCAAGGCACTAATTTAAATACAGCACTCACAGAGGACTTGCCCAGTCCTAGTTGGTGACTTGTTTCCTCCTTTTAATCTATGAGTCTCTTGATGTAGAGACTTGCTCACTTTCATTGAATTAATTCAACCAGCATGTATTAAAGAACCCCTATCTCAGTACTAAAATACCTGTAGGGGTGTAGAGATTTCTTAAGAAATTTACAGAATGGCTGGGCCTGGGTGGCTCATGCCTGTAATCCTTGCTACTCAGGAGGCTGAGATCTGAAGATCATGGTTCGAATCTAGCCTGGGAAGGAAAGCTCAAGAAACTGAACCTTGGATCTTCTGCTAACTCCCTCAAGATCTCAGCCTTTCAGGCTTAGGAACTTGCAAGCATTTGCATGTGAAACTTCCTTCTGGGAACAGCTCCTCTTGCTGTGGGTTATCTTTATGCTAGCCTATGAGAGATACTTAAAGGGACAGTCTTAGAGTCTGCCTTTTGAGATTTAACACAGTTTGGGGGATTTGTGCTTGACCTTCTTAGATATTCTTGGGTGCTGGGGTTTGGAGTCAGCATCTGATTGGCCAGGAAAGAGTTTTATCACTTGAGCCATGCCTCAGTCCTGTCTATTTTTTTAGATAGGGTTTTGTGCTTTTACCCAGATAGGCCTTGTCACGCCCTGATCCTACCTCTGTGTCCTGTATAGCTAAGATTCAGTTGTGTACCACCATGCCCAAGCCTGTTTCGTTTTTAATAACTTGTCTCAAATCTCTATATCCCTGCTTGCTGAGATTCCAGGCGTGAGCCACACACTGGTGTCTCTGCATATTCTATAACATATGGAGTTGGAGGAAGGAGGGAACAAGAGAAGAATGTTCAGTGACACAGGTGCACAGAGCCAAGGAGACAGACAACTCTGTTTCTCCTTTCAGCCCTGGATTCTGTCTGCACAGTGTTCTTGGGTTGTACTTTTTTTTCCCCCCTTCTGGGAAGATTTTGCTTTTTAAGCCTTTAGGTAATTGGCAAAACGCTACATCTTTGAAGTATTCCGAGCTCCTTGTGGTTGCCCCTAGTAACAGCTGACCACGTGGGCTTTGCAGGCTGCATTTCTACCCGGGTCCTAGGATTAGGGCCTTCCAAAGTGGCGTGGGACCAGAGCCTAGCCCCTCCCCAGAGTACCCTCTGCATCCTTCCAGATGCCATACCACCACCCTATCTCCTCACCCACACTCACACCACTGGGCCCATTGCACTACTCGAAAGAATTTCCTTAGCCTGGGCCCAGTTTCTCCTTGGAGCTTGTAAGCAATGAGAGATCGTCTATAAAGGATTCCATGTGCTATCTCCCAACTCACTTAAAATTCACACGGACAATGTTTTTTTTCCTCTGTTATTTATTTATTTGGTCTTTGGCATCTGGTGGGGGGAGTGGGAATTGAGATGAACATTGATTTATATTTATCTTTCCACTCAGGGTTCCATGAGTGTTTGAAGAAAATCATCCCACTATTCAGAAAGGTTTACCAAAAATACCTAAGGCCAAAGTATTGATCTAGTCTGCACACTACAGATCGATGGCCTTCTGGTCTCTCTTCTATGAAAACAAATGGAATTGTGCTGTTGGTTTTTTTTTTGGGGGGTGGTCCGGTCGTGGGGCCTGAACTCTGGGCCTGGGCGCTGTCCCTCAGCTCTTCAGCTCAAGGCTAGCGCTCTACCACTTGAGCCACAGCGCCACTTCCAGCTTTTTTCTTTTTGCTTATGTGGTGCTGAGGAATTAAACCCAGGGCCTCAGGCATGCAAGGCAAGCGCTCTACCACTGAGCCACCTTCCCAGCCCCAATTGTGCTGTTTTTTAACCACCCCCCACACCTATTTTTAAGATATCTACTGTAAACTTTTAAAATGTTAATATGTATGTAACATGTATTAATTGACAAGATATATTGTTAATGGTTTGTATTCTCATTTTTGTGGCTGAATTATACTCATTCAGTGTTGGAAACCTATTAACTAGGATGAAGCCCAATTTTCATGGGGTTTCATGAAACTCTTCATCTGGGAGAGATCATTGCTTCCCAGGTGTAAGGTACTGTGGACAACCCCACCAGAGACACTTGAAGTGTGGGGCAGGAGCGGTGGAGGTTTCTACCACTTGTGAGTACAGCTCTGATACTCTGGGGCAGGCCCGCCTTCCCTCCTGGTAGACCCTCCCCTGCTTGCGCTCCTGAGGCCCTGCCAGGGTTGGGCTAGTCAGGCACTGTGCACACCAGGCCCAGCATCCCTGAGACCCTCGCCTAGGCTCTTCAGCCTTCTCCAGTGTGGGCAGCACTGGGCCACTTACTTCTCCATCTTGAGGTAGAGCATCCCTCGCTGGAAGTAAGCTACCGCCAAGTGCTTGTCCCGGTTAATGCTCCTGGTAAAAGCCTGCAGAGAGAAAAGTCCAGATGCGGCCAGTGAGCGAGGAGTTGAAAAGAAGTGAGATGAGTCCCAGGGAGAGTCAAAAAGGGGCCTGGGAATGATCCGGCTCTTCAAGGTGATGGGATAGGAATCTGGAGCATAGTCACTTGGCATCAGAACTCTCTGGGCTGTCACTTCCTCCTTGCCTCGCCTGAAGCTATCTCTAGGAACCTCAGTTTTCTCCTCTGTAAAATGGGGACATTCCTAGTTGTCTTTCAAGATTATTGGTAGGATCAAATTAATAAATTAAATGGCAAATAAGATGATTTGTGATATAAATTTAAGATATCAATATGATATAAATAACAAGAATATTTATAGTATCTATATTTTATAACTAAAATAACTAAGAATACATATTATGTGTATATACGTATACACACACTTATACATACATGCTATATATTATATATACACAAGTCATATAGTATGTATATGTTATATAATATATATTATACACACATATACATACATACACTATATATATTAGTATATATATAATATACATATATATTAATATATATATATATAGTAAGGGCAGGTAAACAAGAGCAAGAGAGAATGTCAGGTCAGCAGAATAGAGCAAGAAGGAATCTAGTCAGGAGCCAGCGGAGCCAGTGAGCTGGGAGCATGTGGTGGTGGTGGCGGTCACAGCCTGGCTCAGGATCCCATGTCCAGGCCAAGGCAGGAGCCAAGAGGCTGGGCTGGGAGAGCTGCACCCTGACTAATCACCTCCTTTGCCCAACAAGACAATGTGCGCTTTGTCTCTACCACCTCTCAGAATACAGAGCTGACGCTGTTGCTGGCCCCCAGCTGCTCTCCCGCTCCGGGGGCGGGGCCAGCGCTGCCTGCTGCCACCACCCTCCCGTCCCCTTGACTGGCCCTCTGCAGCATGAGTCCTGCTGGTCTCCCGTCACAGCATTGCAAGCCCTCGTCTCCTGGCAGGAGGGTGTGACTGGGGCTTGTTTACCTGCTGCTCACAAGATGACTGTGGGGTACAGGGGCTCTTTAGGGTGCTGGGAGAACTCAATTGCCAAGACTTCTCCAAAAAAATCAAAACCTTTCAGAGAGCAATGTGAAGCTACACTGTACTGTACTTTAATAGTTGATATCTCTTCATGCTCATGATACTTAAATCCCTGTGGTGCTGAAAGCCAGGAGTTTATGTAGCTTGTTTAATTAATACTGAAAATCCAGAGGGGGGGGGAAGAGAGAGACAGAGAGACAGAGACAGAGACACAGAGAGACAGAGAGAGAGAGAGACAGAGAGAGAGAGAGACAGAGAGAGAGAAAGAGAGAAGTGGGGGGAGCTCAAGCTGGGATTTGATCATGGTTCCTCTGCTTCCAAACTCCACGCCCTCTCTACCTTATGATGGATCCCCAAAAAGGAGTTGTTAGAATGCTCTATCTCTTACTAGGACTATTTAAATAAGAAAAAAAATCTCACTATGCTTTCTTCCCAACAGCCTCAGAAGCCTTGAAAGAAAGCCCTGCATAATAGATCAGAATTATCACTTGAGTGGAAACCTATTTTTTCCTATGTGGCCTTTCCTCAATCTCTTGGGCAGGCAAAGCTGATGCCTGTGAAATTCTTAGAAAGTCATAACTGGGCAAGGTAGGAAGACAGAGAACCTGGGTCCAACAAGAGTTGGTAGGAGGAAGCACAACTCGAGGAGTCTTCATGAAGGTGTTAAGAAATGACTTGCACTGAGAAATGGAATCAGCATGAACCTCACCACTGCTACTCATGGGAACTAGCAGAGATTTTTGCCATGGTGGCTGCCAGACCCATCTGCAGACCCAGGCCTGTCCCTCAGGCCCTTAGCTGGGACCTTTGTTCTGGTAACCTCCATCATCCCCAATCAGACGAGGTTGCTGGAGTGGAGAGGGATTGAGAGAGGGGCTCAGAGGAAGTGAGGAGTCCCCCCACCCCACTCACCTTCTCCGCCTCTGGCATCTTTCCCAGGATTGTGTGCATGCAGCCAATGTTGAAGCAAATTCGCGAGTGAGGATCCTGGACTGTGCTGAAGGCTTCCAGGGCCCCCTTCCAGTCCTTTTTGTCAGCTGCCAGCACCCCTTCATTCCAGAGGCTGATGGCCTCCACCAGGGACATGGTCAGATGACGCCAGGGGACTGAGAGCTGGGGGGGGGGGGGCAGGGAGGCCAGGCAGGGAGCAGGTGTGTCTCCCACAGTAGGGTGGCCCCAGAGCCCTGCGTCTCCACACTTGTAGGCTGGTGTTCCAAGTGGGGGTCAAGTCTCTTTCAGGGTGACTTATTAGTGTTGCAAGGGTGTCAGGAAATGTCCCCACCTTCCAGGAACTGACGCAGAAGCTACCCTGAAAGAAGAGTAGAGGCTGGAGGGCGGGGTGAGGAGGTGGGGTGAGAAGAGGGCGGAAGTACATCAGAAGTGCAGCCACGGTTCAGTTCCCTAAAGCGCTTGGTTCTGCCCCCTGCTCCACCTCTCCTTCTCCCTGCCCAACCCCACTTTGTGGCAGCTTCCAGCCAAGGTAACCCTGGTAAATCTGAGTGTCTCCTTGTTTCTACACCTTTGCCAAAGGGAACTGGATGAGAGGAGAATTCAACGGATTCCTTATTTTCTTTCTGTCTCATAGGCTGTCATAATATGATCCAGGCTGACCTGAAACTTGTGATCTTCCTGCCTCAGCCTCCCGAGTGCTTGGATCACAGGCAGGCACCACTATGCTAGTTTTTATCTTGAGCAAAACTGAGCAAAGAACACATTTCTGAGACAGTAGAATGGTCTTGGGGGTCCATCAAAGTCAGAGATAACTGTAATGAACACACAGCAGTTTAGAAGGGACAAATGCCCAGATCCAGAGCCCCACATGACAGTAAACACAGCTCCTGTAAAGAGAGGAGAGTCTTGTTCTGGCTTATTAAAAAAAGAAAGAAAGAAAAACAGGATTTTCCAACACAGATTTAGATGTCTTGCTGCATGAGAAAAGCGAAAGACGGGACACCTTCACTGAGAAACAATTTTGAGTAGCGATTCTACAGAACTCCTGACTTGGGTGCAGGTGGCTCATGCCTGCAATTATAGCTACTCAGGAGGCTGAGATCTGAGGATTATGGTTCAAAGCCAGCCTGGGCAGGAAAGTCCATGACATTCTTGCCTCCAATTAATCACCAAAAAGGCCAGAAGTGGAGCTGTGGCTCAAGTAGTAGAGCACCAGCCTTAAGCAAAAAAGAAGCTCAAAGACAGTACCCAGGCCCTAAGTCCAAGCAAAACATCCCCCCCCCACTCCCCCCTCCATCTTCCTGGAAAGTACAATAGATGCTTATGAGAGTGAAATACTTTAACTCACAGTTTATTGCACCGGAGAGAACTCAGGAGTCTATCTACATGACTTGTGGGTCTGAAGGCTGAGAATTGAAGACATATATGTGTGGCCTTACATATAGACCCTTCCTCGTGTTTGCAAGGCCTTTCCACCTTCTTTGCTGGCAAACTCCTCCTCATCCTTCAAGGCCCATCCTGCAAATGATACTAATGTCACTACTTCTATGACATGTAGCTCCACGCTTCAGGTAATAAACTCCTCTCCCACCTCCTGCTTTGTACCACCTCTTCGCAAATATTGATTGCAGGTTATTTCTTGGGGCCCCTTAAAAGTTGAGACCATACCTTCTCATTTTAGAAGCCACAGCCCTGCACGCCACAGTCCTGCACTAGTTAGTTGTACCCCTCACCCTTCCCCCTCTTTTTCTCACTTGCCTCTGTGTCGCTCACTAGCACCTCCTATTGGCCATTCTTCATATCTACACCTTCAGAACCACCTTGCACTGCCAACAAAGGCTGCTCCTTCTCCCCGGTAACCCTCAGCAGGGGGTTAACATGGCAGTCCCCCTGGCATTGCCCTGAAGTAGCCAGGCTGATGTTTTCAAACCCCATTTGGAGTATTGCTCCTGGGGCAGTCTGTAGCTTTCCAAACCCCACGCATGTGAGGTTCTCCTGAAGCTCTCTTGCTGGCTCTGCTCATCTCTCTGTCGTCTGCCTCTGTCCCAGCCCACTGGTCTCCTTCCTGTCCCACTCAGCATTGAGCCAGGCCTGGTCCCTCTGCTACATTGGCTGGGCCTTTCACTTCCGCCCCAGTGACATTTCCTGATCTGTGACTTGCTCTCCACGACCCTCTCCCCCGACGTGTGTGTCACAATTTATAACTGTCACCTGTGCTTCCCCCCCTCTCACCATTGCTCCCACTGGTCCTGAATGGCCTTTTCAGCCACCCTTCATTTCCTTCCTCCTTCTGTTGAACTCCCGTTCTATTCCAGTCCCTAGACTCCCCAAGGCCAGTGCTTCCAGGGCGTAAGCCTCCAACCCAGGGAAAGGGAGTGGGGCTCTGATTGGTGCAGGAACAAACATGAGACTTCAGTAGAAGACTTTTGAGGAGTTTTGGAAGATTATTTTTTCCCTTCACTGATAGAGAAAGTCCCCTGAATAAGGCAGTTGTAACCTGGTGCCATGACTTTCCCTCCTCCTCTTCCTCCTCCTCCTCCTCTTCCTCCTCCTCCTCCTCCGCTCCTCCTCCTCCTGCCCCTCCTCCTCCTCCTCCTCTTCCTCCTCCTCCACTCCTCCTCCTCCTGCTCCTCCTCCTCCTGCTCCTCCTCCTCCTGCCCCTCCTCCTCCTCCTCTTCTTCCCCCTCCTCCTCCTCCACTCCTCCTCCTCCTGCTCCTCCTCCTCCTGCTCCTCCTCCTCCTCTTCCCCTTCCTCTTCTTCCTCATTCTTCCCTCTTCTTTCCCTTCCTCTTTATCTTCCTCCCCATCCCCCCTCCTCTTCCTTTTCCTCCTCTTCCTTCTCCTCCATCCTTTCCCTTTCCCTTTCTCTCCTCCTCCCCTCTCTTCCTCTCTTTCTCTTTTGGTGCTGGTCCTGGGGCTTGAACTCAAGGACTGGGCATTAGCTCTGGGCTTTTTTTTGCTCAAGGCTAATGCTTTACCACTTGAGGCACAATTCTGATTCTGGCTTTTTGCTGCTAAATTACAAATAAGAGTCTCACAGATGTTCCTGCCTGGGTTGACTTCAAACTGTGATCCCAGATCTCAGCCTCCTGAGTAGCTAGAATCACAGGCCTGAGCCACTGGTGCCCAACCCTCCTCTTCTTTATACTTCTTCCCTTTCTCCTTTACTAGTGTTTCAACTCTCAGGGCCTCGCACTTGCTAGATAGGGTTTTGCCTTGCCTCCAGTCTCTTTGATTTTTAGTTACTTTACGTACAGGTCTCCCATTTATGCCTGGGCTTGCCCAGACTTCATTCATCTATGCTTCCTGTGTAGCAGAGGTGACATCTATGCAGCACTGCGCCAAGCCTCTGGTTGAGATGGAGGGGATCTTTCCAATTTTTTTCTTGGGATGGCCTCGATCCCAAATCTTCCTGATCTCTGCCACCTGACTAGCTATGATTATAGGTGGGTGCCATTGCACCCAGCCTTTCATCCTTTTTGAGAAGATGGATGAGGAAAGCTTCATATGCAAATATCAGTGATATATTCAGGAAAGATATTTCTTAGATAAGATAATCCAACCAATTTAGACATTAAACAGTTTAGGTAGCTAAATACTATGTCTATAATATTTTCCTCCTATTAATGTCACTTTTTTTTTTTTTTTTTTGGTCTTCTTTTTTTTTTTTTTGGGTCCGGTCATGGGGCCTGAACTCTGGGCCTGGGCACTGTCCCTCAGCTCTTCAGCTCAAGGCTAGCGCTCTACCACTTTGAGCCACAGCGCCACTTCCAGCTTTTTTCTTTTTACTTATGTAGTGCTGAGGAATCGAACCCAGGGCCTCATGCATGCAAGGCAAGCGCTCTACCACTGAGCCACCTTCCCAGCCCTTGGTCTTCTTCTGGTATTGAGACTTTAACGGATGTCTTCATGCTCTCTCAGCTTGCTTGCCTTGAGCAGTTGGTAGTCTATCACTTAAGCCATACCTCTAGCCCATTACTTTTCCTGATTTTTAAACATATTATTCTATTGTTACTATTAAGGTATTGTACAGAAGGGTTACCATTTCATAAGCGGGGTAATGAGTACAACTTCTTCTGGCCAATGCTGCCCCTTCCTTCCCTGTCCTCCAGTTTTCTCCTGCTCCTGCCCCCAAGTTGCATAGTTAATTTTCCGCATAGTGATACGGAATATCCTGACTTCGTTTGTTCTCCCTTCCTCCTTCCATGTCTATGCTCTCTCCCACTTTCTTTGCGACCACTAGAAAGACCAAAACAAAACAAAAACAATCCCAAACCCAAAGCAAAACCAAAACCAAAACAACAAAAATAAACCCCAGCTGGACAGGTACCCATGGCTGATGCCTGTAATCCTAACTCAGGAAGCTGAGACCTGAGGGACATGATTCAAAGCCCTGTGAGGCAGGAAAGGCTGTGAAACTCTTATCTCCAATTAACCACCAAAAACTGGAAGTAGAGCTGTGACTCATCATGGTAGAGCACTAGCCTTGAGCAAAAAATGCTCAGGGACAGTGCCCAGGCCCTGAAGCCCCACAACTGACAAACAAACAAACAGATAAATAAATGAATAAATAACTAAATCCCATGTTTCCATTTATTGGAATTCATTTTGATAAATAGTATTTTAAATGTGCAGAGGTATTATGCTTTTGTGTTACTCCCCTAAAAGTAGCCTCCTTTAATCTCTCTGTGTGTGAGTGTCTAGAATCCTATATAAGCTATCATGTTTTTGTGCATTTTAGTGCATTTTGTGCATTTTAGTACTGTATTTTGCATATGAGAGAAAACATGTATGTTTTGTCTCACTGAGCTTGATTTGTTAGCATGATTTGTTCTAGTCCATCCATTTTCCTGAAAATGACGTAATGTTATTCTTTCTAATGGCTGTGTAAAGCTCCGTGGTGTATAGGTACCACATGTTTTGGACCCATTCATCTATTGTAGGGCATCAGGGCTGTTTCCATAACTTGGCTATTGTGAATAGTGCAGCAATGAACAGCGATCTGGACAGCAGTCTGGATGTGCAAGCTCCTTTACACTATCCTGGCTTGTGATGTTCTAGGCAGATGTCCAGGAGTGGTATGGATGGGTAGAAGGGAAGATCTATGTTTAGTTTCTTGAAGAACCTCCAGACTGCTGTCCAGATTGGTCATGGTTTATGTT